AAAATAAATCTTCAAAATGGTATTACAGTTCTTACATGCCCAATTATCTCTATTGTTTTACTCAGATAATGATGCAGGCTTGGCATGATGTAAAGTGTCTCTATTCCTATGACACATAACTGTACAAATAACCAACGAAGTTCCTTAAGAGTCACTACTGAAATTCAAGTGTGGGTAGCTACCCATTATTTTGAAATAATTATAAACAAGTTATACCTTTTAAGATTTTTCTTTGCTAATTTTCTCAGTTGCCTATCTATATCCTTCATGTGTAGGATGGATAAAATCACATGAAAGGGAAAAATCAGGTTAAAATTCAGCCTCTGCCTTTGTGATTGCTAGTTTTTATTTTCCACTTGGAAGAATCTACTGAGACAGACCTTTGGTCACATCTGTAGGTAATGACCTTGGTTATAATTATATAGAGCAGAGAGGGCAAGCTGGGAACTAATGCAAAGGAGTTCATTGCTCTCTTTTCTAAATTTAGATGCAACATGGCCAGTTGCTTCAAAAGCCTGGTGCCTCAACTTCCCTGAAACAGTAAGCCAACTTTGACCTCCTTTCAGTTACTTTTCTAAGAGTATTTTATTATAGTAATTGAAAGCAAACAGAGATTATTTTATAGAAATATTTTGATAGTGTAAGTATAAAAAGTATAATATGAAAGAGTTTATGCTATAAAGACGTGTTAGACAGCAACCAAATGGCTAAAATCAAAGCTCCTATCTAAGTCTAAATGTAATTAATCTATTATATTAAAGATCAGGGTGTTATTATAAAAATTATGGGTAATTATCTTAATGTTTTTTCAGAATATATGACATTCACTTTGAGATTTATTTTTAATTTAATAGTATATTTTTATTTAAATGACATTTTTCATTTATTTTTGTATACAAACAGTTTCCCCTCTCTCCTGTTCTCCTGTCTCCTCCCATTTCCCATCTACTTCACTCCTCCTTCATCTCCATTCAGAAATGGAGGTCACCCATGGGCTTGCACAAAGCATGGCACATCTTATGTCAAGGTAGGATCAGATTACCTAGCATGGAGAACAGGTTGCCAAAAGTCAGCTAAGCCCCAGGTAGAGGTCCTGCACTCACTGCTAAAAACCTTACTAAGACCAACCTACATGATTGTCATACATGTCACACACATTCAAAGGGCCTAGGTTGGTGCCATTCAGGCTCCTTGACTGTTGGTCCAGTGTCCATGAGCTCTTAGGAGATCAGGTCAGCTGTCTCTGTGGGTTCTCCCATCAAGAATCCCCCTCTCCACTTGGTTGGTACAATTCCTCCTCCCTTTCTTCAGCAAAACTCTCAGAGCTCAGCACAGTGCGTATCTGTGGATCTCTGGCTCTGCTTGCATCAGTTACTGGATAGAGTATCTCTTATGGCAATTAAGGAGTTGACTAATATGCTTCCAGGAGGTGGCCACATTCAGGAACCCTCTTCACATTGATGGGAGTCTTAGCTGTGGTCATGACATTTAATTTTTTCTTTTTTTTGAGATTATAACTTAATTGCATGATTTTTTCCTTTCCTTTTCCTCTCCGTAAACTCTCCTTTATACTCCTCTTTGCTCTCTTTTAAGCTCATGAACTCCTTTCTTCATTAATTGTTGGTACATGTATAAATGTATGTATACATCTTTAGTGAACCATCTGTCACAATTTTTATATCAAAATTACAAGATTATTTTATTTACAATGGCACAAAGAAATAACTTTTATTCTATATCTCACATTGCAATGGCTCTCTAGGAAGAGCAAATATGCTTCACAAAATTGTCCTTAGCTAAAATACATTACTTGAATGAAAGTTGTGGAAACTGTCATCAGGCTCCCAACACATGTGATGATATCATAACTAAAACCACATACCACTTTCTTCCTATACATAAATGAATGGTTTGCTAACAAACATAATTAGTGAACAAATAATAGGAAATGTTGACCTGGAAAGTGATTCTGAGACTTGGTTAGGAGGGTTCTTGTTTTTTTTTTTCAAGGAGTCTGACCTTAGTATGCTGTACTTTTTAAACCTTATCAACAACAATCTCCTTCCTTTCTTTCAGCTTTATAATAAGACAAATTTGGAGGAGGAAACTTGAGTCCTTGTGTATCTCTTCTAAAGTTAGAATTGTCATGAAAAAAAAAACAGAATTGTAGGTTTGGTAAGCAAATTCTGATATTAAATAGCCTATTTTAACATAAACTATTGATCTTTATAATTTGAAAAAATATTTGTCAACTTTGGCTTTGTACCTAATGCCTAAAAATATTTAGATTGAGTAAAGTTAAATTGTACATAGGAATACATATATACATTTACATACGTAAATAGTATTTTCTATGCATTTATTGAAAGTGGAATAATTTGGTTTCTATTTAAATGGCAGAAAATGGTATTAGAATTAACATACCACACATATCACATCTCTGGATTAAATTACAGGTCTCTTTTACATGGAATAAGAAGCAAAGTTGGCTTATACTGAAGAAGCAAGACAGGACCCATGGTAGCCAGGGATTTGGTTTGTTCATACCTCTTAAATAGCATTTTAGTGAGCATAACTGAACAAATAAAAATCTAGAAAAAATCATTACAAACTGGAATTTACTGTGTATTTTCACTGGAAATTGATATGTTGTTAGGTAATATTTTATTTGCAGAATAACTGAAATTTTAACCCATAATATATGGCAATTAGAGGCAATGTATTTTAAATCAATAAACAGTGTCATACATAAGAATTACAATCAATGCCATGCCCCAAAAAACACTGTTAAAAAGTTACCTGTGTCATCACATTTTTAAAAAAGAAACAGGACTAAATACATTATGAGAGTGTACTCCTCTTTAAATCTATAGGAAGGAAAACTATCTTTCCAAGACTCAAATTTTAATACATTGTGTATAATTAGGTTATGTTTACATTGACACATGGTAACAGTAATGATATACCACATTTAACTACCATCAGGAAGATAATGTGATAGGAAGTCATCTTGGAATTTTTCACAGTGTAGCAAAACATTGCAACTAAAGTTCTCATATTTACAGTTATCACCACCAAAATAATGACACATTTGACATATAACTATTGCTTTTCATTGAAAGGCACCAAAATCACTCCCATTTTTTCTTGCATTATTCAAAGTAGTGTCATGCCTATTTTAGAAAAGGAAAACCTGATCTCCAAAAGACACGTTATTGTCTTAGAATTCACTGAAGTGGTAGATATCCATATATAAGTTTGTATTCAAGACAAGTTCTCATTGTGTAGTCCTACCTGACCTGGAATTCACTATGTCGATAGGGGTGGGCTCAAGCTAACAGATAACAGTCTACCTTAACCATCTAGGTCCTGGAATTCGCTTGCCCTACCACACCTAGATATGCAAGGTTATTGAATGTGTTACAATCCACTCTAAAGAAAATGCGCTTTTGTTCTTTGTTTATTGACAGTTACAAAGGGAAATCATAATATAGGAGTCAACCACAATGTGCCCAAATCACCGATTTTAGTTTAAGTTTTTCTATTTTAAATGTATTTTTAACCACAGAAATAATTAATTAAAATTAAACATCTTTTTCTCTTTTCTCTCATTTGAATGATATTAACATTACGTTGAAAGAGTCCGCAAGAATGGGTAAAATGCAAGGAAAATATTTTCTTTACATTTCATGCATAAAAGTGTGCGGTTGAATGCAGATGACATTGTTTACACACCCTGTAATCAAACAGCTGCTTCATGCTACAGGCAAGGATTATGTAACTATTATTTGACAATGGGTTTTACAATATAGTCTGTGTGTTTTTAACTTATCTGTTGACAGTTCCACTAAGAACCACTTCAGCTATGTTGAACTGAGAAAATTCTATTCCACTAAATATTCTTAACTATGAGTAAATTTTGATTTGGAAAATGTCCTCAACTTAGGCCTAGTTCTTCCGGGCATCTTATACAATTTTGAGACAATTACAAATTGTTACTGCAATTAATATTGGTGGCTTGATGATTCTGGCACATTTATGCATGCATAGAAGTATTTGATTCCTGTAGTTTTTAGTAAATTTAATTTGAGCGCCCTTTTATAAGTATTATATTTTAGTTTATCACAAAATATGTAGTTATGACAATAGATATTTACTGCCAAATTAATCCTTTTAGCTTCAATAAAACTAATAATTTATCAAAATTCTTATATTTCTGCAAAGGAAATAGATACAGTTTTAATTCATATTTATAAATGTCTTATTATAAGTGACTATTATATTTCTAAAACTCAATTAGAAATATTGAAAATATTAACTTCTCACTAAAATAGGACAATCCATTTCTCAACATTGAAAATTGACCCTCTAACACTGTATGTATATCACACATATTATAGATGATGTAGTTAAATAGAGAAATGCAGATAATAGTGACATGTTCATGGGTCAGGCAATGACAGTACCATGTAATTTCATCACAGGCCATATATATTATATCAAAACAATTAAGCATTACATGCATATCAAATATGTATATATCATTTATATAGCTATAACTGTGTTGGATTTGTCTTTTTCTATATAAAAATTGAGTGAAATAATTACACATGCAATTTTGGTAAAATTTCAATTGCTAAATTAAAATGTATTTGATAATACAAGTAAAATAATTTAGGACTGAGGATGTCTTTTTTAAATTATTTTCTAAGATTTATTTTTCATACCAACCACAGTTTCTCTACCCTTCTGTCCTCCCATCCCCTCCTCCTACTTCTCTTCTTATACCTCATCCATTCTTAAGAAAGGGTAAGGCCACCCCATATGCTTTCTCTATCTATTTTGATATACCATGAAAATATTTCAGGGAAAAACACTACATTTTGAAACTTAGGAGTAGTAAATTGGAGAAGAAACACAGCTTCATGTATTTCAACTTTATCACAGAGTCTAAAATGGAGTAAGGACAGAATGAACAGACTTTACCTCTGAACACTCACCGACTGTCAGCTGTCCAGTGAGCTGCCCCATGTGGTTTCTGGCATTCACTGTTACATTTCTGTCAGACTGTAAGACCAGTGGACTGTCCTAGGAAACATTTATGAAACACAAATCAAACAACAGTGTGACTGGAGTCAGAACACATGCAACCATGCTGTGCATGGTCTCTCAAGTTTCTTTGCTTGAACTGGGTAAAGAGATGGTGTCTCAAAATAGGTTTGCAGTAGAATGAGATGCTTGCATGTTTATACCTAGGTATTAGCCATCTGAAGGCAGCAATTCCAATTCTACTGATGGCTCATAACCAAGGCTATAAAAATCCCCTACATCCACTTTCCTAATGGTATGTAAGCTTGTTGGCATAGAGAATCCAAAAGGGATATCTTCTAAGCAACTTTCAGACCTTATTATTAAATGAAATTTCTTCAAAATGTCCTCCTCTGATCACTGTAAGTACTGCTTGTTTCAACTCACAAACTTCCTATCCACATTTCTTTTGTTAAAGCATTTATCACATACACAACTTACTGGTCTCATGTGTTTACATGTTTATCTCCTTTTTGTTTACTTGATTGTGTCCAAAATGAAAAAGACTATGACAGTCTGCACATCTGCTATTTCTCCTAGTGCAAACAGAAAGTATTGGCTACAAGTTTATTAAGTAAAAAGCCTATACAATTAATCAGTTAGTTAATTAGTTGATTATTTAATAATCCATTTTTAGTAATTTATTCATCTTCCCTGTGTGAGAATGCTCTGTGAATTGTACAATAGATGAAGCAAGGAATTACAAGTTGGTTTCCTGAAGGTTGTTTGGTTTTCTTGTATGTGTGTTTGTTTCTGTGGGTCCCATAAGAGGCGTATCTAGGACTATAGAACATTTTAAATATCTACATGATCTAAACAATTTGATTATTGACAAATTATGCAAACATTTATGCAAAAATATTTATTATTTCTTGTGCATAATATAACTTTATAGGGTCTACCTTTAAGGAGCTTAATTTGGAAAGTTTGGTTTTTGAAAATTAAAAAAAATCTAAATTTTTTCCCATCCATTTAGTATTCCATTTCTACATTGAAATCATTACATGTGCAGTTTATTTTTATTGTTTTAAATTTGTATTTATTTTAAGAATATAAGATAAAATATTTTATCATTTCTTTCCCATCCTTCAGCTCTTTCTAGAACTTCCTCACTTCCATACCCACATAAGTTCATGTTCTTTCTCTTTCTTAAACAAAAGACAAAGAAAACAAAGGAATGAAACCCCTGGAAATCAGAGTTGGATTTGTGTTGTGTTGGCCAACTCCTCATGAAAGTGGTGTCTGCTTGAGAGTATGACTGATATACTCCCTTCTCTGGTCCCTGGGTATGTTTGGGAGAGTATGGAGTGAAGAAAAAGAATGGAAAATATGGGAATCATAACCTTAAAAAATAAAGATAAAGAATGCATATAATTAATAAAACAAATGACAGCAGATGGTGTTGAGTATGTAGGGAAAGGGGATGAGAATGAAGACACAACATATCCAAACTTATGGGACACTGAAAGCCGTGCTGAGAGGAAAGCTCATAGCACTAAGTGCCCACATGAAGAAACTAGAGAAGAGTCATACTAGAGAATTAATAGCTCAACTGAATGCTCTAGAACACAAAGAAGCAAACTCACCCAAGAGGAGCAGACACCAGGAAATAATTAAATAGAGGGCTGAAATTCATCAAGTGGAAACCAGGAAAACATTTCAAAGAATCAATGAAACAAAGAGTTGGTTCTTTGAGAAAGTTAACAATATAGACAAACATTTGTGCAAACTAACCAAAAGACATAGAGAGAGCATGCTAATTAACAAAATCAGAAATGAAAAGGGGGCCATAACAACAGACACTGAGGAAGTCCAGAGAATCATCAGGCCATACTTTGAAAATCTGTACTACACAAAATTTGAAAATTTAAAGGAAATGGACAATTTCCTGGAGAGATATCACTTGTCAAAACTAAATCAAGAACAGATAAACAATCTAAACAGACCTATAAACCTTAACAAAATAGAAGCAATCATCAAAATCTCCCAAACAAACAAAAAAAAAAGGCCAGGCCCAGAAGGCTTGAGTGCAGAATTCTACCAGAAATTCAAAGAAGAGCTAATTCCAATACTCCTCAAAGTGTTACACATAATAGAATTGGGAGGCTCACTGACAAACTTTTTACAAGGCTACAATTACCACGCTACCCAAGCCACATTAAGACACAACTAAGAAAGAGAACTATAGACCAATCGATGCCAAAAAAAAACTCAGTAAAATACTAGCAAATCGGATTCAAGAACAAATCAAAGAAATCATACATCATGATCAAGTAGGCTTCGTCCCAGGAATGCAGGGATGGTTCAACTTTAGAAAAATCTATCAATGTAATCCACCATATAAAGAAACTACAAAAGAAAAACCATGTGATCATCTCACTAGATGCTGAAAAGGCCTTTGACAAAATCCAGCACCCCTTCATGATAAAGGTCCTAGAGAGATGTGGGATAACAGGAACATACCTGAACATAATAAAAGCAATATACAGTAAATCAACAGCTAACATCAAACTAAATGGAGAGAAACTCCACGCAATTCCTCCAAAATCAGGAACAAGACAAGGCTGTCCACTCTCTCCATATCTCTTCAATACTGTACTTGAAGTTCTAGCTAGAACAATAAGACAACAAAAGGAATCAAGGGGATACAAATAGGAAAAGAAGAAGTCAAGCTTTTACTATTTGCAGATGATATGATAGATTACATAAATGATATGAAAAACTCAGGATAGTTCCAGTCTGCAATGTCACTGAAAGAGCATCTGAGAAACAGGAAAGAACCTAAGAGAGATATGCAGGGTACCCCAGAGAAGAGGAATGAGGCAAGATCTGCTGAACAGATTGGGAAGATGGCTGGATGTGTATGTGGGGGGAGTGGGATATGAGAAGAAGGGATGGGGAGAAGAGGAAGAGAGAATAGGTCATGGGGGAACAGGAAGGTTGAGTGGTGGATAGAATAGGGGGAGAACAGAATGAGAAATACTGTAACAGAGGGTGTCATAGGTTTGAAGAGAGATCTGGCATCAGTAAGACCTCTAGCGATCTAAAACGGTGACACTAAATGGCAAGCTAAGCAATAGTGGAGAGACTGCCTTAATTGCCCGTTCCTGATAATGAACTTGAAGTCTACCTTATATACCATCCTAGCACCTTCATCCAGTGACTGATGGAAGCAGAGGCAAACACCCACAATTAAACACTGAACTGAACCCATGGAGCCCAGTGACAGAGAAAGAGGAGTGATGAGCAAATGGGCAAAGAATGGGCTGGTGAAACCAGCAGAGACAGCTAATCTGAACAAGGGGGAGCTCTTGGACCCCAGACCAAGAGCTGGGAGGCCAGCATGGGTCTGATCCAGAACCCCTGAGTGTGAGAGTCATTTAGGAGGCTTGGGCAACCTATGGGGCCCTGGGCAGTAGATCAGTGTTCATCCCTGGCATACAAATGGACTTCGTGTGTCCATAACACAAAGAGGGATGCTCTCTAAGCCTGGGCTCTGAGGGGAGTGCCTGGACCCTGCCCTGAGAAAAATGACAGCCTCTGGATATCCTCTATGTGGAAGGAAGTGGAGATAGGGTGGGAGGCTGGGGAGGATGGTAAGGGGGTTGAAGAAGGAGAGGAGGGAGAGGGAACTGAGATTGACATGTGAAGCGAGGTATTTAAAAATTAAAGTAATAATAAAAATACAGGTAAGAGGAAATGATGTTGTTATAGTATAACATTAGAAATAAAAAAATCTAAAAATATTTCTCATCATTTCTCTGTAAGTGTATGGGTACTGTAGGCATCCATGTTTGAATACAACCGAATTACATTATGTCATTCCTACCATGTAAAATGTCCAAATTCTGTTGACTGCACAGATTGTCTACTAAGTTCTGTTTTAGACAAGTACTTACACCAATAAGGACAGTAAAGCATCTGATAATTACATAGAATATATTTGTGTAGCCCATACACATACACAAAACAATTATATTCTATGTTGGCAAAATAAATACAGACATTTTAAAAGAGTTCCATAAAATAGAGGCCATTAATTTTAGGGAGAGCAGGGACAGTTGTATGGAAAGGTATTGTAGGGAGAGAGGGAAGGGAGAGGTGTACTTAAAATCTGAAAAATAAACAGTGAAAAGGAGTCTATATTAAATAGTAATTTGGATGTAAGAAATAAAAGAAATGCTCCTCATAATTCAAAAGTTGTGAATAATTGACTAGTCAAATTTGAATTTTCATTACTTTTAAATATGTTATATATAGTTTTGTTTATATCCATAAAATTTATGAGATTATTTGCTTTCATTTGAATTACTAGACATACTAAAATGATCACATATGAATATAAGTATAATGAGAAGACTAGCATCCTGGTGTTTTTAAGTAATGGACTGTGGAAGTGTTATAAGTATGTTAGATCTGTATGAAAGATGTTAAGGTCAAAGGAAAGTAAATTTTAAAGGCAACAGTCAACAGGCATTTCATCTGATCTAATACAGAAGTAGACATGCTGTAACTGTGGGTTTAACTACTGTGCATTTTTGCTTACAAGATGTCAATTCACTTTTACCCTCACCATAGGAATCTTATTGAATTTCTGTCCCTGGCTCACTTCCTTTCTGCTTATTCCACTAAATTTCCTCTTAGAATTAAATTTTTATATCCAGATTAAATTTTTACTGTGATCGCAACAGCAATCTTTGTGCTCACTGGAAACATAAACAGAGCTATCAGGGGTGATGAGCAATTTTCTACAATATACTCATGTGAATAAAATCATATTATTATGCTATTCTGACTTTTAAGTTCTGTTAAGCTTAAATTTTAATATGAGTGAATATTCTGTATGAGTGCAGCATGTTCACTGGCAAATTAAATGGTGATTTTTGTACATAAATCAGCAAAGTGATTACTTTGAGGCTAGCACCACTACTTATGCATTTTAGGACCAAATCACTACCTTGGACCAATGGATTCTGAATAAATTCATTTGTGATGAAAAT